CGTGAGAAACTCGTGTCCCCAGGCTTTGAGGGCTACCCACACTCACCTGTGTCCAGCTACAATTGATCTGTCCCTGCAAGACAAGGGACATGGAGTGTGAGGGGCAGCCTGGTTAGAAATCCCTGAAACTCCTCATTATTAGCCAGCAGGACTCTTTCTGGGCACTTCATTCCTTTGCAAGCTGGGGTCTTGGGGAGGTAGAGAAGGTCTAGGACTGGAATTTGACCACTGTTTCTGCTGTCTTCCCACCTCCTCTGGGTGGCCCATGCTCCATGCCTGTCTCTGAGTGGTTCAGGTGACTTTGACTCTGCTATGCCCACCCGCTCTGGGCATTTCCTTCAAGGCAATGAGCTCAGTCAGCTGGTAAATCAGAGCAAGGCCATTAGGCTCACAATGAAGTATGAATGATCAGCCTCCTCAGGGGATTTGGCTGTTGACAACTCTGAAAATTCCAAGCCATATGATGATGTAAAGAATTCCAGTCATTATTGAAAGACATTTATTTTTAGAGTGGGGTGGAGTATTTTCTCAGTGCATTATTAGCCAGGCTTGCTTAGGTGACCTTGAGCTACGAATATGGAAATCCTGAAAAGGCCTAATTCATTGTGACCTTTTCCCCATATGCCTCCAGAGAGGTTTCCCAGTCCCACTTCCCGATTCTGTCTTTATCTCCTCTTTGCAACTTTCTGATCATGGTCAGCTTGCACCTGCCTTCTTATCCCCTCTTTTCCTTCCTTCTTTCTTTCCAATCAATGGAACATCCACTACATGGTGCATTGTGGGTAAAAAGCAGTAGTATGTCCCTGCTCTCGGGGGACTCTGAGATTACCGGAGAGGCATTTGTGGTCTTTATGAAAAGATTGCAGTGTGCTGGGTGAGGTATGTAAGCAGAGTGGTGCCATGTGCCAATGGGAGAGCCCCTGAGCGGGGTGTGGAGGGGCAGGAAAGGAGGCCCAGGAGGAATGCTGTGACCTGAGTCTTAAGGCTTAAGCAGATGTGAGCCAGTAAACTCATGGAGGAAGACATTCTAAGAAAAGGGCACAGTCCATGCAAAGACCTGACTTAACAACTGAGAACCCCAATAGTTCAATGTGCCCGGAGCATCACACAGAATATGGGGACACAGAGGAGAAGCCAGACCAGCAAGGCTTCTGTACATCACGTTTGCTAGTCTGGGTCTTATTGTTCTTTATTCTCATCTAATCAAAAGAATTAGAAGAACACATGCACATGACTTGAAAATCACATGGCAGGTATAATGAAGAGCAGCAGTGTGGGGGCCTCTCCTGACCCAATGTCTTATTCCCTGGAGGTAACCCAGGTTTTACCTCTTCAAGTTTTCATTCCTGTTGCTGTCTCCATGCTACTGAATAATATGCTTCCATCTTTATTCATTAATTAAATCTATACATTATTGGAATATAATGGGATTATTGTTGGAATATTTGGAATTTCTGCTATGGTAAAGATCTAGAGAGTGCCCTCCAATCTTATCTCCCCTTCATTTCTATTCTGAAGACTTCAGGGAACTAGGAATGGTAGTGAGCAGCTCAGCCATGTGATGCTATTTGCATTTTAGAAAGACCAGTCCAGAAGCATGGTGGATGGTGGGTTGAATGAGGGGAAATGATTTCATGGTAAACCAGATGACAGATGCTGCAGGTTTGCATTAAGGGAGTAGTGCTGTGACTTGAGAATGGACGGGGGAAGACTTTGAGAGAGAATTGAGAGACTGAATGTATAGGACCTTGAGAATGAGTGCCTCTTCTACTTTATTTTGTCAAACATGACCTTGATTCCAAAATTCTTTCAGAAAGACCACACATCCCAAAAGCTGTGGATCAGCCTTTCAACAGAGACAGAAAATCTCGAATACAATCTCCAGAGAGTAAAATTCTCAAAATTTAAGGGAAAACTCATTTACCAGTTTAAGTTTAGGGTTCAATTCACAAAGGTAGTTAATTAAGAGGAAATTCTTATTATCAGTTCAATAGACACCAGTAAGTCATTTATAAAATTCAATGTTCCTGTCTGTTTTTTAAATGTTTATTTATTTTGAGAGAGAGAGAGAGAGAGAGAGAGAGAGAGAGAGAGAGAGAGAGAGAAACAGAGAAACCCAAGCAGGCGCTACACTGTCAGCGCAGAGCCTGACCTCACAAACCATGAGATCATGACCTGATCTGAAATCAAGAGTTGGACGCTTAACCAACTGAGCCACCCAGGTGCCCCACTCCTGTCCATTTTTAAACCACTAAAATCTTTCTGAAAGATTTTACAAACAAAAGAGTATCTATTCCGAACCGAGAGCCTACGTTAAACACATGGTGTGAAACACTAGAATTCCTTTAAAATCAAAAGAAAAACAAAGTGTTTTAAAAGCCCACTAGTTCCTTTATTTTTTCATCTTTATTGATGTATAATTGACAAAGAAAATTGCAAGTTTCCTAAAGTATACATTGCGGTTATTTGGAATACGTACACACGATGAAAGGATCCCCACCATCTAGTTCATTAACACACTCATCACCTCACATATTTATCTTCTTTCTTTGCTTTTGATGAGAACAATTAAGTTCCATTCTCTTAGCAAATTTCAATTATATAATGCAGTGTAATTAACTACAGTCATGTTTTACATTAGATTCTTGGAGCCTATTCATGTTATAGCTGAGAGTTTGTGCCTTTTTACCAACTTCTCCCTATTTCTTTCACCCCACCGTCCCTTTTCTACATTCTGTTTCTGGGATTTTGACTTTTTTTCTCTTTCTTTCTTTTCTTTCTTTCTTTCTTTTTTTTTTTTAATATTCCACATATAAGTGGTACCATGCAGTGTCTCTCTTCTCTGTTGGGCTTATTTTACTTAACATAATGCCCTCAAGGCCCATCCATGTTGTTACAAATGGCAGCATTTCCTTCTTTTTTGTGGTTGAATAATATTTTATTGTATATATATATATATCCCCCATATCTTCTTTATCCACTCATCTATTGACGGACAGTTCCTTTACATAGATGAGCCAAGGAAAAAAAGGTCGGTGGCAGTTCTTCAGACATACTAAACCAAGATACAAAGTTTTAAAAAGAATTCAAACTTTTTGTACAAACACATATGCGGTTATTTTATTTCTACATTTAATATTATTTTATTTCTCTATTTAATATACTTACCAGTTATTCCACTACTCACTACCTGATTCTCCAAGAGGAGTTGGAATGTTTTACAATTAAAGAGAGATGCTATAGGAACATTAAGATAAAGAAAAAGAAGGAGGCCCGTGAAGTGAATTTCAGGACAGAAGAGGGGGTATTCAGTTAGAGCTGAGGATTTAAACAAAACACAAAACAAAACAAAATAAAACCAAGCTCTGAACTTCCTTGGAAGCAAGGCAAAAGGGAAATTTCCCATTAGATGATAAAATAAAATTGACCAGTTTGTCAAGAGAACATCAATTCTCTAAACAACAATAACAGCAACAACAGCAGCAACATCAACAATAAAGTAACTGAAGTCTAGCCAAGTTTGTTAGATCACATTGCTCACCAACCACATAGACATCAGCTATTTTTTTGATCTCTCCTGGTCCCATATGATTTACCTGAAACATTTTCACCCTCTGTTGGTAAGTCTGGTTCTACTCTTCCATAAAGGTTATATCCTTGTCTTCTACTGAGCTGTCAGTTTCTGAATATCTGTGGGGCTCCTGGTGGGTACCTTCTTTATATCATAGATCACCTCCTACTACATAGCATCTCTTCCTATTTCAAAACTATGCCTCTCACTGGACCAGTGAATACACACTCCAAGTAGCCTGCTGAGGGATGCTCAGAGGTTCCAGTTTATCAGAAGAGCAGAGATGATTAGCATTCCTTATGCCTAATGAGGGATCACATCCTTCCTAGCTTAGATCATCAACTTTCCCACTGGCCTCAGGGATTCTCAACTCCATTCTTGCTTGGGTGCACTACTCAGAGAGGTGACCTTAGAGAAGAGATTTCCTAAAATTTTGAAGTGTACCTGAATGTGTTGAAATTATTTGTACATTTCATGTGGGGATGACATATATATGAACACAGTTTTCTGGTAAGAGGGTCCACAGTCTTAATGATATTCTCCATAACCCTCCAAAAGTTGAGGATCAGTATTGCAGCATTCTTTCACTACATGTGTGTAATGTTGTAAGCCTTTTACTGTGAAACAACAGGCCCAGAAGAAGGATGGTCTTCTTTTGTCTTGACCTTAGGGCTGTACCTTCTACACCTACTGCTCAGGATAAGATGGGGACCCTTCCTCAAAACTAAAATCCATTCAATGTCTCTAACCCTCTTTTCTGACCTTTTCTATATTACCACATCATAATATAATCATAAATATATCTATAGTGATTTATGGCTCATAAAGTACATCCAGATACATCCTCTAATTTAATATCTACAATAACACTAGGAATAAGCATTAGAGTCTCCATTTTTACAGATGAGAAACCTCAAACTCAGAGAGGTTTAGTGCCTTATTCAAGGTTCTGCTAAAACTGGCAGATTCTGGGCCTATTCTGGAATCTGAATTCTGTGAGGTGTTTATAGAGTAGTCTACCTTCCAAAGACCACATAAGATTGGAAAAGTTGGACTTTCAGCATAGCCAAAACCATCCCAAGCCAATAATGCCTCTTCCTGTTGGTTTAGTCTTCTTAACTTGATGCTGTGAAATGTGATCTCAGCCCCTTGGTACACACATCATAAATTACCACTCATAATATATATTATAGTGATTTGCTCAAGTTATTTAGAATGTATATTAAGCCTTGAATACATAGGTTAATGGCCTGGTCATAGAATTAAGCACAATTGACAAATACAATGGCAGGGGAGGAGGGTAATGGTGGTGGTAAGGGGAACTTTGCTTCATCTGGGATGGACTTTAGTTGCTTTAGACCACCTGCCCCAAAAGACTTGATTCTCAATCCATCAAAAAATACTTCTTACTCCGAATTTACTCCCACAGGAGGCCTATGTGACTCAGCAGGATAAGATCCGTCTGGTGGGGGAACTGGTGACCATCACGGGGGCTGTGATCATCCTGCTCCTGGAGGTGAAGTACAACCAGGGTCCAAGCTGAGGCCATCCACCTGGGGCCCCAGACTGAACTGCAGTCCACATTGTCTTTTTGTTTTACTGGCCTTTTCCCAGATCCCGGACATCTTCAGGGTTGGTGCTTCTCGCTATTTTGGACAGACTATCCTCGGGGGACCGTTCCATGTCATCATGTGAGTGTCTCTTCCTTTCAGTCCCATGTCTTCCCTTGCCAGAATTGTTCCAGGTCCCCATTCACTCTCTGGGACCTAGACTTCAGCTGACTCTCACTTCTAGGGATTTTTTGCCCAGTGGGCTTATATGTGTGTTTTGGGTGTAAGGACTAAGCCTGAGTGGGTACCACCCAACTCATCACCATGCTAGAGGAGACTTGGAATATTTCCTCTCTCACTCCTTGTTCCCTGCCCCCTCCCCCAAGCATCACCTATGCCTGCATGGTGCTGGTGACCATGGTGATGCGGCTCTCCAACATGAACGGGGAGATGGTGCCCATGTCCATTGCCCTGGTGCTGGGTTGGTGCAGTGTTATGTACTTCGCTCGAGGATTCCAGATGCTTGGTCCCTTCACCATCATGATACAGAAGGTCAGTGCCTTCCCCAAAGATTCCTCTGGCTTCAGCAATAAGTCCTTTCCAGACAAAGGGAGGAGATGGAGCTAGGTGGCCTCCAGTTTAGCAGGATAGCTGCAGAGAAGCAGGTAGAGAAGGGTCATTCCAACCTCCCTCCCCTTCCCTTTCCTGTAGATGATTTTTGGAGACTTAATGCGGTTCTGCTGGCTGATGGCTGTGGTTATTCTGGGATTTGCCTCAGGTAAGAGCACTGTCCCTCCACACTACTAGGTCATGGGATCTAGTTCTCCAGAAAGTTCACTCACTCTTGCTCTCCGTTCTCATTTATACTCTCTTTTGCTTATTTCCCCCCTAGTGGATATTGAGTCAAAAAGCACACTCATATCCATAGGATCGGGGTCACTTAAGATGACCTAGAAGGTAGATGATATGCTCTGAATTTATGGGCTAGTAACATTCATGTTGACTAACAGCCCAGGAAGATTTTTAAAGAAGAGATAGATAAAGGGCTTTGGAGAGACAGTGCCATTAAACAGGAAAGACTGGCCAGTTGTGGATCTCAGAAAACTATGTGGGCAAACAGAGTCAGTGCAATATTTAACTCTTCTGTCTCTACACTTCAAAAGAAGAAACACAGAGAATTCAATAACACATAGCATACTTTTTTTTTTCTATGTGCATTTAAAGTTGGGAGAAAAAGAAAGAAATCAAAGAGGAAGTACAGAAAATGATTTTGGAGAGTTTGAGGATGAGAGAGGAAAACAGAAGAAAAAGAGCTGTAAAGAGAGATTGGGGAAAGAGGGAGCAGGGACTTAGTCGCAGCCCAAGGCACACGTGGAATGTCAGGGTAGACAGAGGAACACAGTGAGAAAATAACAGCCAGGATAGAGGGTGAAGGCAGTGAGAAAGTAGGAGAAAGTTCATATGGAAAGGCACTAAGAGGAAGGAAGAACAGTGAGATATGGCAACTCAAATCTAGTCTCCTGTGTCTGCAACCAAACATCCGTAAGACAAGGGGATGCCCTAGGCGCTATTTGAAGACCTCTCAACTCTAAAAGACAATGGCCTTTTAGAACAAAAGGCACTATTCTTGTCCTAGGAATTCCCACTTAACAGGAATTCCCACCAAACAGACCAAAAAAAAAAAAATACCCCAAGATCTGAGCTATGAAAGGGTAAAACTGTGGTAGTTTTGCCTGTTTGGAGTATTCCTTACATATTCTTTCTCCTCACCCTCTACCCCATCTGCACACATCATGAATTACTGCTCACAACATGTGTGCATATAGTTACTCAGTAAGCATATGTTATATATAGTATATGTATGTTATACAGTACATAGTATCATGACCTGCCAATCGAAGTCATAATGACAGAGTAGTTTTCTGTAGATGTCCTATACCCAGGATCTCCTAAATTGTCTCTTCTTTGTTGTTGTGCTTACCTTTTCCATCAGTATATAAAAAAGTGATGTTTTGTCATAGATACTATTTCCATTCTTGAGATCATTTAGTTTATATTTCAGTTCCCCACACAGAGAGAAGTCTTTTAAAGGTTCTAATGCTGTACTAATGTTCTAGGATGCCTAGTATCATCCAGTAGGCTACACACTGAACAGACCTTTTCCATGACGATCCAAGCTCACCCAGGAACCTCAGAACGATGGATGGTCATCTAGGGGCCACTGAGATTTTTTTTTAAAGGTGCTTTTCTTTTGGCCATTTCATATGGTCAGTTCTTTAAAATTGTTGGAGATTCCATGCATTCTTGTAACAAATTACCTTTTATTTATTTTTAATTAATTAATTAATTAATTAATTAATTAACTTTTAAATTTACATCCAAGTTAGTTAGCATATAGTGCAACAATGATTTCAGGAGTAGATTCCTTAATGCCCATTACTCATTTAGCCTATCCCCCCTCCCACAACCCCTCCAGCAACCCTCTGTTCTCTATATTTGAGTCTCTTATGTACAAATTATCTTTTAAATATTCGATTTTTTAAGATGTGAAAAGCAGTTAGGTGACTTATTTTGTGTATATCTATCATATATATAATACACATACACACATTTTATGTACACATTTTGCTAAATGGCTGGGTGTTACCATTGTCCAGAGTAATGAACTTGGTCATAAGACATCTTAAGGCTAGCCAGGTCCACACATAAAGTGTGACTTACATGTACACAGTCATATATGTACATTTATGGGCGTGTATGTGTGTCTGCAAGTGTGTAAATGTATGGAGATATAACCGGGCCCATGCTTATTGTGATAATTCCCTATTTTCCCATCTCCATGCCCCCTTCCTGGGCGGAGCAGCGTTCTATGTCATTTTCCAGACAGAGGACCCATCCAACCTGGGGGAATTCTATGACTATCCCATGGCACTGTTCAGCACCTTTGAGCTTTTCCTCACCGTCATTGATGGGCCTGCCAACTATGAAGTGAACTTGCCCTTCATGTTTGGCATTGTCTACTTTGCCTTCACCATCATTGCCACGCTGCTCATGCTCAACCTGTTCATCGCCATGATGGGTGATACACACTGGCGGGTGGCCCATGAGCGGGATGAGCTCTGGAGGGCCCAGGTGAGTTTACTAGTGTTAGTCTTACTAAGGGGAAGAGAATGGAGAGAAAAATCAAAGTGGAAAATGTTATGCTATACGACTCTTAAGAGAGTCACAGAACAATCCAGTGTTGTCACCTCAACAAAGGTACATTTGGACAGAGGAGGAGATAAAAGGAGGGGTGGTTTAACACCCAAGAGCTGAGGTGTTGATCACAGGGGAAAAGTAGATACAACCGTCAACCTCGAGCCCAGTGAGAACTAGAGACTGTCTTATATATTCTAGTGGGTTTTTTTTTTATTTTTGTAATTTTACTTTTTTTTTTAAGATCCTTAATTTCAAGTAATCTCTGTACCCAGTATGGGTGCTTTACTGACTAAGCAAGCCAGACATCAGCTATATATTCTAGTTTTAAATTTTAATTTTTAATCTTATCTTCTATTTGCTTCTCCCTGTTTCTCTATGATTTTTTCTATATATCAGTGAAGATAATATAATTTTAGAGTTGGAAGTATCTTTAGTGGTCCTGTAGTTGAGTTCTTACTCAGTGATTAGTTATTAATTGGTCAAAGGGTCATTTAATATCTTCTTTAATGCTGATTAGGACCTTCTTATTATCATATGGATTTGGGTAGTGGTTGGGAAGAAGAGAGCTTTTTCATATTTCAAAACTTTTTGTTATTAGAAATGTCCATGTTGCATGGAGCTGAAATCTATCTTTCTACAATTCCATTCTTTGGCCCCAGTCTTGTCTTTTAATATACACAGAACACACTCTTCTGTATGAACACCATCCAAAAATTTGAATACAGCTATAATTTATCCACTCAGACTTTCCATTCACTTAACAATAATTATGTAGAGCCTGTTATGTGTTGGGAAATGCCTGTGAGCTGGGGACACCAGCATGAACGCAACAGATGCCATCTGCATATCATGGAGCCCACAGTCTGGTTGGGAAGACTGCCATTAAATAAAGGACTTCATGGAAGTCTGTAAAACTATAGTAGTAAAACTATCACACAGAAGTAGAAGATGCTAAGAACAGGACACAACAGAGGAGTCTGATTGCAAACTTAGGGAATGCTTTCCTGATGGAGTGACATTTAAGATGAACTCCTAAACATGGGTAAGAATTATCCAGTTAAGGAGAATGACAGAAAAGGATAGAGGTTAGGATTTATATCAGACAGGACTCTTGGCTATAGGGACAGAGAACCAAATGCAAACATACTTAAAAAAAAAAAAAAAAGAAAGAAAGAAAGAAAGAAAAGAAAAAGAAAAGAAAAGAAAAGAAAAAGAAAAAGAAATAAATGGCATTGGAAGCAAGATGTGTTGGTCCTTGTAACTGGAAAGTTTAAAGAACTAAACTATCTTTAAGCATATCTGGCCAAAGTGTGTATTTCCATTTCAGTAACTACATCAGTTTCTCTGTTCTGCTCTCCTATCCAGTCTGCTCTCCTAAGTCAGTCTCTCCCATCACGTTGGTGAAATGTCTTCTAGAAGCTCCAAATTCCCAAAGGAATGAGCAGTTGTACTGTATTGCACAATTCCAAGGGCCCTATCTGTTGTATTTGCTGTGCCTTCTGATACTGTGCGAGGTGTAACCCCTCAAAGAGCATCTTTCCCCCCAAGAAGCCAGTCTAAGTTCCATCTCACTGCAACAGGTTTGAGCTATAGGTGCATCCTTGAATTTGAGGTTAAGACCAAGGAGTGGTGATGGTGGTAGTGGAATTTAGGGGAGAATCAGCTAATCAGCTGGGGTGCAGTCCAGTCTACCCTAACTGATGGACAGAGTGGTGAAGTGACAATGGTCCAAGCAAAAGGGGTCTATTACCAGAACAAGGTGGGGGCCTACTGATGGCACAACAGGACACATAAATGTCCTTTTCAAGATAAAGGAGAGCTTCTATATAGGGAAAGGGAACACATGATTAAAAGTCCTGAGGTTAGGGGCACCTGGGTGGCTCAGTCGGTAAAGTGCTGGACTCTTGATTTCGGCTCAGGTCATAATCTCACAGTTTGTGGGTTCAAGCCCCGCATTGGGCTCTGCACTGACAGTGCAAAGCCTGCTTGGGATTCTCTCTCCTCTCTCTCTGTCCCTCCCCTGCTCATGTGCTCTCTTTCTCTCTCTCTCAAAAAAGATAAACTTTCAAAAAAAAAAAAAAAGTCCTGATGTTGGAGGGAACTTGGTCCAACTAAGAAATCAAGTAGAAAAATAAAATATGGGGAATTAGACTACTTTAAGAATTGCTAGTTTCTTCAACTAACCAAGCTTTCTGCACTTGTTCATGCCTAAGAGATCATGGTCCTTTCAAAAGTAGAGTGTTCCTGATAGGATTGGAGGAATACAAAATAAAGAGGGGTCATGCCTTCCCTTGCTTTGGACACTGTAGTAGAAATAGCACCTCAAATTGAGCCAGGTCTTGGGGCACCTGGGTGGCTCAGTCATATAAGTGTCCAACTCTTGACTTCAGCTCAGGTCATGATCTCATGGTTTGTGGGTTCAAGCCCCACATTGGGTTCTGCACTGAGAGTAAAGAACCTGTTTGGGATTCTCTCCACCCCCTCCCTACCCCTCCCCCACTCTTGAAAGAAAGGAAGAAAGAAAGAAAGAAAGAAAGAAAGAAAGAAAGAAAGAAACTAACTTAAAAAAAATTGAGCCAGGTCTTTAAAGAAATTTACATCTGGCCCTTATGAAGGTCATGATCTACTAGAACCCATGCATCTTTGTTATTCAACTTAATTAGTAAAGCCCCTTTACCACTTCCTGTACTTACCCAGATACTTTGTTCTTAAACATAAATGTAGTACCTTACATTTGGTTCTCTTAAATTTCACATTATTGGTATTTGACTAGCATTCCAGTCTGGTGAGATCATTTTTATACTGCTTTGTCACCTCACATTATTACATATCCCTCCCAGTTTTGTGTCACAGTCATATTTGATAAGCTTGTCTTCTATGTTTCATTTAAGTAATTAATGAGGGCTGGGCAAAGGACAGAACATGTGACATGCCACTAGAATTTTCCTTGCCAAGTTTGCAGTCATTAACCCACTCTTTTTCTTTGGAGGATATGGGTATTTAATGTGCTGCAAATTCCCTGAACACTAGCAGCATCATTTCATACCACAATCATAGAGATTCTATTTAATCATTTTATTTAAATCAAGATAACTAGTCTGGCTTTCCTATGAAAAAGCAAATGAGATTAGTTTGGACTGACTCATTTTCTATGAATGTCAATAGTAATGTAGGGGTCACAGTTTTATTCAAAATACTCATAAAATATTCTCTCTCCTTTTATGATGAGTGAGTAAAGCAGGTAGCATGATGCCTGGCACAAGCTAGGGCATGGCCCAATGGCTGTCATCTCCCCAATTTCTGGTGTCCCCATCTGACAGATTCCTCTTTGTTCCCTATGTTGGTGGCTTCTAGTGTTCCCTGAGACCTCATCACTCTTCCTGAGTTTCCTCTACCTCTCACTCCTCCCAGGTGGTGGCCACCACAGTGATGCTGGAGCGGAAGCTGCCTCGCTTCCTGTGGCCTCGCTCTGGGATCTGCGGGTGCCAGTATGGGCTGGGGGACCGCTGGTTCCTGCGGTGAGTGACTGTGCATATGTATAAACTGCTAACAAGCATGAAGCCATGGGAGTAGGGTGCCCAGTTTCACATTTATCACACATATTTCCATTCCTGAGATCTCCAACTGGACCCAAAGGAGACATCATCACTCCATAAAGTAAGACTGCATTAGCCTGTTTAGGGGAGGGGGGTGGAGCCAACAGGGAGAGCGACAAGATGGCTGATAACTGATGCCAGGCTGTGAGTACATCAGGGTAGTAATGTGTGTGAGGTTATATACGTGTCCATGCTCAGATGTGGGCATGGGCTACCCAACTTGTTCTAGTCTTGTTCCTATCTGACCCCCATTTCTAGTAAATTCTTGCCTTGAACCTAACCTTCTCCATACTCTACCTTCGGCTCCTGACTTGGCTTTTCTTCTCTCTTGGTTTTCTCTTTCATATTCACAACCACACACACACACACACACACACACATACACACACCACTACCCTCCAAATCTTGATTGCTTACCTCTTTGGTCTCTATCCCACTTTACCCTCCATTCCACTGCTCTTCCCTTCATTTCATCCTAGGACTCTGGTCCCTTCCTTGCCCTGTCCTCTTGGTCCTGTTTCCTACAAGTGCTCTTTGCCCCTCTCCTTCTCCTCATGGCCCTTGGTCCTTCACCTCACCTGAGTTCCTTCCCCTTTGCCCTCCTCAGAGTTGAGAACCACCATGATCAAAATCCTTTGCGAGTGCTTCGCTACGTGGAAGCTTTCAAGGGCTCAGACAAGGAGGATGGACAAGAGCAGCTTTCTGAGAAACAGCCCTCTGTTTCTGTGATCGAAAGTGGGACCCCAGCCAGAGCCTCTCTGGCCCCTCCAACGCCTTCCCTATCCCGGACCACATCTCACAGCAGCAGCAGCCACCGGGGCTGGGAGATCCTGCGTCGCAACACATTAGGACACGTGAATCTTGGGCTGGACCTTGGCGAGGGAGATGGAGAGGAAAATATCTATCATTTATGATGAGGACCCCTGTTTCTATAGGCCTGAAAAACAGGTGGGCCTAAATGGAGGGAAGTATCTGATTGTTTTGCCTGTTAATCATGAGAGGGGATAGGCAGAATAATTCTCAAAGGTCATGTCTCATCCTTCACATCAGCATTTCTGGAGATGGGCAATGGACGTCTGTTGTCCCACATATCTTCCGGTTTCCTGAAAGTCCCACATCTTGAGAAAAGAAGGTGTCTCTTAGAGCAAAGTTGGATTTAGCCATCAAAGACATGAACTAGGGATGCTAGACTAACATCTGGATCATCTTTCTTTCTGCCTCATGCAGGCACTAAAAAGTAGTGAGCTGTGAAGCCTGCTTGGTTCCACAAGGCTTAATGTGGGAAGATCCAGGCATGGCACTGAGTTTATGGCCCTTCCCTTTTCCCCTGTAGGACTCTCTCTCACCCCACAACCAACCCCCAACTAGAAAACTGCAATAATAAAGGTTCTTTATCCTTGCTTTATTTTTCAGAAATTTTATTGTGGGAAGATACACATCACATAAATTTACTGTCTTAACCATATGTAGGTATACAATTCAGTGGCATTAGGTACATTTACACTGTTGCATAATGATAACTACTATTCATCCACAGGATGCTCTCATCATCTCAAACCAAAACTCTGGTACTCATTAAACATTAACTCCCCACTGTCCCCTCCACACAGTCCCTCATAACCAATATTCCACTCCACGTCTATGAATTTGACTACTCTAGGTACCTCATACAGGTGGAATCATTCAATATTAATCCTATTGTGTCTGGCTTATTTCACTCAGCATAATAGTTTCAAGATTCATCTGTGTTGTAGCAGGCATCAGAATTTTATTCCTTTTAAGGGTCAAATAATATTTCATTGTATGGATATATCACATTTTATTTATCCATTCATCCACTGATGGGTATTAGGATTGTTTCCACCTTTTGGCTATTATGAGTAATACTGCTATGAACATTGGCATATAATTCTCTTCAAGTTCTTGCTTTCGATTTCTTCGGGTATATCCTTAGCTGTGGAATGGCTTGGACTTATGGCAATTATTATTTAATTTTTTGAGGAACTGCCACACTTTGTTGTCTTTCTTTCTTTCTTTCTTTCTTTCTTTCTTTCTTTCTTTCTTTCTTTCTTGTTTTCTCCTTCTCCTTCTTTTTGATAATAGCCATCCTAATGGATATGAAGTGATACCTCATTGTGGTTTTGATTCGTATTTCCCCAATGACTAATGACAATGAACATCTTTTCATATGCTTATTGGCCATTTGTATTTGGAGAAATATCTATCAAATCCTTCATCTATATTTTGGATTCTGTTTGTTTTTTGTTGTTTTTGAATTGTCTTATCCTTGCTTTTTGAGACTCAGAGTCTAAAAGGTTTGTATCTCATTTGTGTCTACATGTATGTTTAAATAAGTGGTAAATTATGCCTTTTGTGCTTGAACAGCTCAATCATTTCTTTATGGGACTCTTCCCGGTCTGTCCCTCAGGTGGCTCATTAGCAGCTAATCACCCTTGTGCCTGGGGGTAGCAGATTTGTGGCTGTGTCTCCTGCAGCAGCCATCTTTTGCTCCCACCTCCCTCTTCCCCTGTGCTGAGTTTTGGGATGGACAGCAACAAAGCAGGATGGGCCATCCCTCTCCAGGGAGGAAAGTGGGAGCTAGGTGTCCAGGGCACCCAGTACCAGGCTCTTGACAACCTCCCTCTTGTCTCCAGTCTTTTACGCCTCACCTCAACCCTAATATCACCCTCACCCAAAAGCCACAATAACTTTTAAGAGGACTGTGGTCTGGAATAGCAAAGAGGTAAGTCGGATTTGTGAAACCACAGGCAGGTTCATCCAGATACTCATACAAAGCATAGATGAGTGTGGAACGGGGAGGAATCACACGAAGGTTGAGGCACAGGGTCCTACACACTTGACCACCAGTGGCATGATTTCTAAAAGTGCTTAGTCATCATGACTCCTCTTATTTTCCTTATAATGGAAGCACTTCCTCTCTTGTGTAAAGCTAAACTCCCATCTGAGTCCCAGATTCCGTTTCCTTTCTGTCTCTTCAGACAGCCATATCCATCACTGTTCTCTCTATACTTCTCATTTGTATATCTCTTCTCCTCCCTCTCCACTAGTTCCGGGGATCAGCAAATAACGATGCTCTATTCTTTCCCATCTCCAAAGAAATGGAAAACACCCTCCCTCAACCCTTCCTCCTTTCAGCTACTGCCCTATCTTTTCTACTCCCTATTCAGGGCCAAACTTCTTAGAGAAGACTTTATTGTCTATTGATCTCATGCTGAGTCCTCAACCCATTGTGATTTGACCTTGCCTCTCCATGCTACTGACATCTATGAGGGAGGTTATCTACCTTTGGCTAAGCCCACTGAACAGTCTCAGACTTGCTTGAACTGTCGGTAGCCTTCAGGCTACAGTCGACCACTCGCTATCTCTCAGCATGTCAGTGCCATACACTCTTGTCACGCTGGCTGCTTCTCTTCTACAAATCTCTTAAATATTTTCGGTCCACAAGCCTCTCTGTTTTCCTCACCACCTGGGCAGTCTCACCTGCTTCTGTAGATTGTATTAACATGCACATGTTCATGACTCCCCATTCCCTATCTTCGGTTCACATCTGTCTCCTGAGCTCCAGGCATGAACAGCTTGGATGCCTATCTATCAGACAGCTGAACCTGGATATTTTACAGACACCTCAAACTCAACATGTCCCAAACTGAAAACTGAACAGCTTTTTTTCCTCACCAAACCTGCTCCTCCACCAGAGTTCCTGACCAAATAATAGGCAAAGTTGCCTAAGCCAGAACCTGGGTGTCGTCTTCAACACCTTTCTGTTGACTCTTAAATCCAGTAAATCTCAAATCTTGTGGATTCTGTTCCCTAAAACATCTGCTTCGAAAAGAATTAATTTTGGTTAGATAATGTAACACATAGCACAAAATTCAAAGAGCACGCAAGAAATACAGAGACAAAAAGCTTTCCTACTTCTGCGCTGGCCCCTTTGTTGTTCTTTCCAGGGACATTCACTAATAAAAGTGTATTTATCTTTCCAAGAATACTCTGTATATCCAAGCGTATGTATGTACATATTCCTCTTAAAAAGACATATAATGGCACAGTTTATTAGAAAAAAGTTTTTGCTTTTTTCACTTAATACAATTTGAAGATTATTCCATACCAATATAAAACCTTCCAGTTGTCCCTGCCTCTCGGGACCCTACTGCACAGAAGGAGGTTCCTAACGGCTCTGTTTGTATGTAGTCTCGGTCTTCTTCAATCCATCACCCACACTATGCCCAGAATGATCTTTGTAAGATGCAAGTCCTACCCCTAAGTATGGTCCTTCTGGAAGCCTTCCATAAGCCAACCTTGGGCAACCCTCCAGCCTCCTCACACCTCTCTTCTCTCAGGCTCTGTTTCACCAAGCTGGATTTCTATCAGTTCCTGGATAAGGCTGAGTTCTTCTTCTTCTTGGCCTTCACAGTCTCTAGAGCTTTCTACCTCCTTGCACTCTCCCTTCCATCTTTGTAACTTCTATTCATTTGCTGGTCTCAGCCTAACGGTCATACATTGGTTGTGTGTGTAATTGTGGGGATGCTGATCCGTGGGCAAGGTTAAAGTCCATCTACTCCATGTTTCCAGACTACCTATGTTTTCTTTTTAATTACACACCCTGCACATTATTGTACTTATTTGTTCAATGTCTGTCTTCTTTAGTAGACTGTAAGTGCCACGAAGACAAAGATGGTGTCTATTTTATTCATCATTGTGTTCCCAGTGTCTGGTGTAATTCCTAGTACAATGTAGTATGCAATAAATATTCATTAACTAGATCTATGAATGATTGACCTGTTTTTATTCTAAGCTCTCTCACTGGCCACACTGGAGTCTTTTTTCACCTGTCAAAGGTGGCACAAAAATACTTGCCTTTCAGTGGGGTTGTAATAATTAACGATAAGCACATAATATGGATGGAAATGCTTTGAAAAGGAAAAAGAAAACAATGCAAATGTAAGTGATCATTGGGAAATTTTTTCAGGTTAAATATACTTTGCGTGTATGTGTGTGTGCGTGAGAGAGAGAGAGAGGGAGAGAGGGAGAGAGACAGCGTGAGAGACAGAGAAGAGAGAGGGAAGGAGGAGAAGGCTGGAGGAGGAGGAGGAGGAAGAAGAGATGCGGAATATCATAAGGAAGAGAGAAAGGAGGGAAGATCCCCAGCAGCAAAGCTCTGGAACAGATCTTCCTGAACCTTTCGTGTGTGGTACCCTGTAAAGGAGCATTCGAGGTAACAGACAAGATCCCACACCGGCCCTCCGGAGTCCAGATGAGCAAGGAAAAGAAACACACACAGACATCGCCATACCAGCAGATGCAGCACGAGAACTGTGTGCTGAAGGGTTAAAATCGTTGGCGGATGTTTTGTGCCGCCAGGCAGATGCCAGCTTTATTTACGGGGATCCAGAGACAGGGACGGGGAACGGGGCGAAAGGAACGCTGATGTTCCTGCCTCAGGAGTTCTTCGGGTCCCCCCGAACCGTGACCGTTCTCCTTCCCGTCTCCTCCCCGCTGGCTACTTTAAAAGACAGAAAGCAGAAAATTCTTGCTCCTGTGTGCGCCTCACAGACCAGAGGCAGGGAGGCACGGGAGGTTTTGTGCTCCCAGGGACCACTGGACTTCAAAACTATGTTCCCGCCCAGCCGTTGGCAAGGTGTTTTTCTGACAAGTTTCTGGGTTCTGGTAAAGAATGGTGGTGTAGCCCCTGAGGGTTGGCCTGCCTGCAGCCTTGGGAAGGAAGGGCAGAGGTCGGTGTCCCTCCCTCGCGCCGCGCTGGGGAAATGCAAGATAAGGTCTGGGACAGAGACCCAGGAGAGGGGACAGCAGAACGGAGAGATGAGGGTAGTTAGCGCTGGCTCTGTAGGTGTCTGGGCAGAGACGTGCAGAGAGACGGAGCTGGACGAAGGGCACACTATGGGCCCTGGCACATCCGAGACCTCTCAGTGGACGGGGTGTCAACGGTCATTGTCAGAGGCTAATGAAGGAAAAATGAGAAACGTGCAAGGAAAGGAATACTTTGACCAGTACACTGAGTGCTGTCACACCGACAGGAGAGGCTGGGTAACGTGGCCCCTCTCTGCTGGGGGCAGGGGGGTGCAGCCAGACAGGAGCCACCTGGGGCAGGACTGGACACACCCGCCTTTGTCTGTGCCACCTCTTTGTTAACCCTGGCACTGGGGAGGCGGCAGTTATGGCCATGAGGCCCCAGGGAATGAGGCTTGTGCAAGGCCAGGCTGCAGCTGGAGGGAGTGACTGTGGGTCCCCGCTGGGGTCAGTGCCCTGCTGGGCTCCTTGGAGGGGGGATCCGTGCGTCTGTGGGCGTGCACATGCGTGGGGATGGCTCTCAAAGCACCACTCTACCAGGAGTTTTTCGTCCCTTCCAGCCCTTCTGCCGGACATGCTCCCCTAACTGCTTCACGACCAGGCTGTGGAGCCCTTTAGGGATGACATGGGCAGCTGAAACCTGATTTCAGTTCCCGCTCCCCGCCCCGCTGCTGGAGTATTAGCTGATGGCTTCTGCCATGTCCACCTGCCACGTCCCTGACAGGAATATCAGCACACACAGGAGAGCGCGTGGCTCACCAAGATCTTACTGCTGTCGCGGGTTGTCACGGCAGTATCCCTGCCTTCCCCTAGTTCGCTTCTCCTAGGCTCTCGCTCCCTCTGCTGTTCCTCCACCTTAACTGAGCACCTCCTTCCGATTAAGAAATAAGGTCAGGGAAAGAGGCAGATAAATCAGTGACTGTGGCTCCATGGGGTGACCCGTGGCC